TTCCTACTGAGCCATCTCCCCGGCCCCTGACAATTTCTTACAATGCAAAGAAAACAAAGTTATGACCGATTCCCTGGCATTTCCCAGAACATGAAGTTTAGGAGCAGGCAATAAAAACACATTGGGTGTAGTTAAGAAATGTATTACTTAAAGGAATGCTACCTTCGAGTTGTTAGGAATGAAGCTTGTAAATGTGTTCAAATCCACTGACGCATGGCTATGAGTGCCATTGTTCAGTCAGTGGAAAATGCCATCAGAGTCCTACTGAGCACCACTTTTCATCTGAAAAATAATCCAGTCAGCTTCTATAAGAAAACTTTTATAAAGCCTTTAAGTTGTAACATTTTTTAAAGTGAGGGAATGAATAGCTAAAATTCAGACCTCTAACCTGCCTTATAATGTATTCGACGTATTGTAACCTGATTAGGGTAGAGACTGACAAATCAGTATGGTAAGCCTGCTAGCGTCTACTATGGTGGATTTGTCTTGTCTTTAGTATTTTAGGGGATGAAGTTATGGGAATCTGGTCCAGACACACCGAGAAAGCCGATGTCAACTGTGCCTGTGTATCTCATTCAGGAATCAGCCTGGTAACAGGAGATGACTTCGGCATGGTTAAATTATTTGACTTTCCATGTCCAGAAAAATTTGTAAGTTTATATACTGTTTTGCATTTTATAATCACATTCCTCCCTAGAGGTCTAAATATTACTTTTCTTTTTTTTGGGGGGGAGGGACTGAACTCAGGCCCTTGCACTTGCCAGGGAAGCGCTTATTCTACTAAGCCATCTCCCCGGCCCCATTAATTTTCTTATATTTAACATGTTTTATCCTAACTTGAAAAATACTGTCCTTTGAATTCGTATTTCAAAAAAGTAATTTTCAGTAAGAACTACTAAATACAAACCTCTCCCTCCAGCAATACTATCTTTGGAAAACTAATAAAGTTCTGGTAAATCTTTTTTACCAAATCATCAATCAGATTTTAAATGCTTTTCCTCAGAGAAAAATTTTCAGAGACCAAGAGACATGACTGCCCAACCCACCTGGTGCGTGTTAAGTGCAGCTCAATCCCCGCCTGTAGTTCCTCCTCCATTCTCTCCACAGCTCTGGTGGTAGAATAGCTCCTCACAGAAACTGTGGACCTTTGTGTGCATCAAATTCCCTGAGCTCTGTTACTTTTTTTTTTTTTTTTTAGGCAAAGCATAAGCGGTTCTTTGGTCATTCACCCCACGTGACAAACATCCGCTTTACCAGTGGCGATAGACATGTTATTAGTGCTGGAGGTGATGACTGCAGGTTAGTAGCTTTTGTAGCCCAAGAAAAGTAGACCTTTACTAGTTAGGAGATTTGAAACAGCACTTTCTATATAACCTGGCTAATGAACTTAGTGTTGTGAGAAGGTAACAATCAAATAGCTCCTTGGAGCCAAATATGCAAATAGAGGATAAGAGGATTTGTTAACAGGGGAAACTTATTTTATGTTTTGAAACCTAAAAAAAAAACAGTAAACTATTCTCAAAATCTAAACAATGTATTCAACTTCCTGCACTTTTTTTGCAGCTTATTTGTCTGGAAATGTGTACATATGCCTTACTAAAGGCTATGTGTGCTGAGCAGGCTACATAAATAAACTAAGAGCACTGAGAGACCACAATTCAGGAGAAAAAAACAACAAACTCTGCATGGAAAGTGGTGCTAACTGAAGACTGTAACAGGGAGAAGTGCCCAGGACAATCAAAACAGACTGCTAAGTTCAAAATGTTCGGGACATGCATTAACGTCCGCGATCCCTACACTGCCAGCTAACCAGGTTTCAAGGAAGAACTGAGGAACGCAAAGCTGCTTTATGGAGTACACGGCTACTGTGGCAGACCTGGGCGGAATGAAGGTGCAGAATCTCCCAAAACTTAAAAACTCAAGTTGGAGGGCTGGGGACAGAACTCGGTGGCGGAGTGCTTGCCTCCTAATGTGGGCAGCCTGGAATCCAACCCAGCACTACCTACCAAAAGAAAACATTTTTTGTTTAAAGTCCCAATTTGGAAAATCAAGCAAAACTTTGTTTTTAGCACTTATATTTTATTTTTAAGGTTCACCATCCAATGAAATATTTTATCTTTGCATTTCTACTAGGAAAAGGAAAAACTACCATCACAGTAAAGGATCAGGTTCCAAAAACACAAACATTTTCCATAGGAAAACAGCTTTCCTAGAGAACGTTTCTTAGCATTTATAAAATCCTGAGGATGATTGTTTTCCTTGCAGTTTGAGTTCAGGAGCAGACCCAGAGTTAATACATGAGTGACGGTCACATTTTCATTTCTGAGCTGTCAATCTGTTTATGTTGAGAACCCAAGTCTATAACTGAAATTATGACTATGACTAGCCTCACTAATGGGAAAGTAGTTTGATGCATGACCATCTCTAGCGGTGTACACTGCTTAAAGGTTTCAGATGGTAACAGTATATCACAGGAGAAGAATACTACATATAGACGTAGTCTGATACATAAACGTTTAACATATAAACCAGCAGTGAACTATGGAATGCACACCGCAGGGGGCTTTTTCTATCACTGAAAGCTCAGGAAGGTTCACCATCAGTGAAAATGCATTAAATTTACAAAACTATACAATTTAGTAATTCTTGGTATATAATTTGTACAGCTTTCTTTCTATTGGGAAAGTTTGTTTAGCTGTGTGCCACTCCATAGGCTAATTTCCAAAATGAATGAACCCAGGTTCATTTGAAAAATCTATCAAATAGAATTTGTTTTTAGTGGACTGAGGCAAAACTCTTAGATCCTTATTCCTCTTCCCTTTAAATGCTGCCAAAGATCTGTACTCATCGTTCAGGAATTTGCCCCCTAGCCTATATCTGTAGTTTCCCAAAGAGTGAAAATTATGTAGATTGATGTTTAAAAATATATTTTTCTAAGTGTGAAGAAGTTAAAAGATGCTTTACTGGTACTATATAAATTTTTTATTGTGTTACTCTCTGTAGCATAATAAAAATCCCTTGAGTTTCTGGAATGCCCAGTTTGGTCTGACAACACACAATACAACTCTAAAATATAGTTTCTATGGCCAACACTTTTAGGAATACTATAAACAGACAATTACTAATACCACATCCTAACCATTGACTGAACTTGATCAGTTTTAAAGCTGAATAGCTGTTGTCAGTGGGACTGATTAAGCCAGGAATCTTGAAACAAAGCTATGCATTCTTCACATCAAAGGAGTTAAATTAAGCTATATTTTAGAATACAGTAATATTAAATTTCTGCTCAGCATATTTTATAAAGTGGTAGTCAATGAATTAAAGGGGAAAATGTCCATGAACTACCCTCTCATAAAAAGCCCAAATTTCAGCGTGTTGTTTTAAATTTTCCATCTGGGTCAAGCTGGCTAACTTTTAGCTATGGAGAAATTTCAGTTTCAATGCAGGTAGTAACTATAATTTTAATATGTAGCCTATAGTTGGTTCCCTTGCATTTTATCCTTCATAATGGTCAACTTCTGTCAGCCTCAACCACCACTGTCATCAATATCATGACTGAAGGTCATACTGCTTTACTTGTCATATGACCGCCTTGTTGTGTTACCCAGCAACTAAGGTTAAGAGACAGGACAGAATTTTGCCATATACATATATACAAAACCTTAGGAAGAAATTTTGTTTTGCATGAAGTATCTAAGCTCCGGAATTAACAGCAGCAGGGTACAGGCTGTCCTCCCAGGCCCCACTGGTTGTACACGGATAAATGCATGCCAAAGCACACTACGCGCTGCAGCCCCCCACTTCATTACCACCAGCCATGCTTGTTCCCTTCCTCGTGGTGGTTCACTTTAGATCATTTTACTCAGCAAATGTTTTTAGGTTCAGTCAGCATTAGGCTGTCCATAAACCATAGCAACTGAAAGACAAACTCATTTACAGCCAGTGTCAAATAGTCAACAGACTCAGATTTTTAGTCTGTCAAAAAAAGGTGAACTAAACCACTAAAGCCCTTGTTACAATATAAACTGTTTAAAAAATAATGCTACATAGAAATTTCCAGAAATTTAAAAACAAATTTCTTCTGCAGAGATACGAAACGTCTCAACACTGGAATGAATGCCTTAAATTCAATGGAGTATGGGTAGCATGAAATGGAACTGTCATTTCCCTTAAGCCTCATGTGACATAGTCGCTTTATGCCGTGTGCGCTGTCTTTATTCTTTTGCCGTTTCAAGTCTTTCCTTTGGGACCACCATAGCCAAATGCAACTTATCAAAAGGTCCAGTGAGTAATTCTTGAACTGAAAGGCAGTGACCCCAAGAGAAGGTTGTCTTCACAATCATAAACATGGACTGTTACAGATCAGGGTTTAGTATCCATCCTTTGGATGTGTAACTAAGCAAGGAAATGAGTTTTCTGGTACAGTTCATTTGGTCCTGAAAAACGTTTGCGTCTTTATTATCCCTCTGTATTCCTCTTTACTAACCCACGTTTTAACCCTTTAATTTTTGAATACTCGTATATATAAATCTTTGAAATCAGTTATTTAATTCTAAAGCATCTGACACTTCTTGCCTTAACACTTTTAAAAACACAAAACTACATAACACAACAGGCCAAATTTCATTCTATTGTGCAGTTTACCCATCTGATCCGTGATTATAATTCTGCCATTTAAAATATACTAAAATCTAGTTATTTTCCAAAAATTATCTTCAGTAGTAACTAAGTATATTTTCCGTGGAATTACTTGTGAGAATGTTATTTTTCAGAATATGGGAATATATATGTACATTTATAATCTTGTGAGTTTGAAATCTCTTTTCTGGTATCTTATGTATATACTTGTAAAAAATTTTATATAATTTTGTGATAATGTAGTTTTCCCCTAAATTTAAAATGTATTACATTAATAGTAAATGAAAGCATTTTAAAGAACTGGTCCTGTCATGTCCACCTGTCACTGACCTGTCTCCATCCTGCACACCCGCCACTCTCTTCACAGAAGGCACAGAACTGAAGGGCAATTTTGCCAAAGTGGCACTCAAACTGAAATGCCTGTGTTATACTTTTCAGACGACATTCATTTAAAATATAAAAAGCACAACTTCAATGACTATTTAAAATACCCTCGGTGCTGCCAGCCCTGCTGCTGCAGACAGATCACAAGCATTAGCACATCTCTGGGAGAAGTGACAGCAGCCTCGGCTCCTGAGAATGACTCGGCTTCACTGGAGGCGCAGCCCTAGGCTGCAGCCCGTCATTCACAGGGGCGCACTGCAGAGAGGCTGGCTCTCACCCCGGGTACAGACACGCCTCTTTCCATACTAAAAACAAAACAACAAAACACCCAATGTCAAACCACTTAATAATAAACTTACAAACTTGAAAAATTAGACACTTCAGATAGGCAATAAACTTCATATTATGAAAGCATTGTATTCCAAGTTTCAAAGATTTGACAAGTTCTGTAGATTATCTTTCATCGGTAGGAAGAACCTTTCAAACTGCATGATCTTCTGCCAAGTAGGACTGGCTATCATTCGCTGAATAAACAGAACCAAAAATTTGTTTAAGTTAACTGTTTTGCATTCATAGGTACCATATATATACCTCCACTAAGAGGTGAGGACTTAAAACAACAAATACTGTTCATCAAATTACAATATAAATGCCAGATTTTATAGAAGAAATGAAGTATATACAAAGTAGTTAAAATCTGCAATTCAAAATATAGGCTGCATTAAAATATTCTAAGGCTTCCTTTTGAAAGCTGATATGATGAAGAATTGACTAGACACAAACAGCACACACATACATATTCCTGCTGGCCTGAGATGTCGTCTGCCTCATATGATCAGAAGTTAAAAGGTATGAGATGATTACTTAAAAAAAGTAATCACTGGATAAAGTTAAACAGACAAAAATAAGGAAGAAGTCTAACTTGCCCCAAATTTGTATGTCTACACATTTTTATAAGCATCTACATATTAGAAAAGTATCTGAAAATAACCACAGACAAAACTTATTTCAATCTTTACCTGGTTTGAGGTCGGATCCATTTCAAGGCATGTCTCGGTGGTACAGTAATGGTGGGATGATAAAATGCGCAGTCTGGTCTTGTACACTGAGTGTTAAATCTACAGTGCTGAAGAGAAACATCGGAGCTTCAACAGTGTTCCCAAGATGAACTCCTGCGAACCACCCCACCCTAACCAACACTAGCATGAGAGAGCTCACAACATCCACATTGATGCTGCTGAAGCTTAAGAAGTGAACGTTCCCTGAAGACACAAAGCCCTGAAGAATCCCAGCAAGTGAAACCCTAAGGCAGACAGCATACAACACAGACCACTGCTGCCCACACTTCACAGTACCCTCACTGCCCCAGAAACGGCCCCCGTTTCTCCAGTGGGGGCTCTGAGGACTAGGTAAGCGCTCTGCCCCTGAGCTGTGTCCCTTCCCCATAAAAATCTTTCACATGCAGGAGTCAGTTTCACGCTGCTTATTTCAGCAATCACCCTGGACAGCCAAGTAGTTGGAGAAATGTTAGTCCTTCAGCACATTAAGCTACTGGAAGTGTGGATGGTGCTGAGCAGTACTGCTGATTTCATCTCAGTGCTACCATGTTAAAAAAAAAAAACCAAGCACCCACATGCTGGGAACAGCAAAGGAAAACAACAATGCTGCACCCCTTCCCAAGAGCTTAAGATGTTAATAGAAAGCTTCTCAGACCACTTGGCCTATGGGCCAGACAGACCTCAGCAACAACTAAGGAACGACTGAGATTTTTAAACACTATGAAGTTAACTCTGACAAAAAACACTAAACAGGACTAGGAAGTAAGACACACAAGACATTCAGTGTCTTAGTGACCTTCTAGACCTAGGACTGAAAAGCTACCACTTAACTGATTTGGGGAAAATAAATGTTCTTACTTTGGGATGATAAAAGGGACATTCCATTTTCTTACAAGCTGGGAAATAACGGCAGAGCTGACTGGTAGAAGGAGATGCTGGTGTTGTAACTGCTGACAAAAATAAGAATAAAAGCTGGTCAAATCTGCTTGTGTGTACATCCAGAAACTGAACACAGAGACACACTGTCACTGAGCCCTAACCCGCCCGCATTAGCCCTGAACTGCAATCCTCTAACCTCAGCCTCAACAGCTAGTGTTACAAATGTTCATCACCACACTCAGATAAAATAAATTTTAATACTGTCTACTGAAATCTTCACAGAGGTAACAATCACTTAAATTAGAGCTTTATGTTTTATGTATGCTTTGGTCAATGTCAAATACATCAGCGTACTACAGGATGGAGGATGGGCACATCTGCTCTTTAAAGACGGGTAAGAAAAGCCAGCATAGAGACTCACACCTGTAATACCAGCATTGGGAAGCTGAGGCGGGAGGATCACCATGCGTCCCAGGCCACCCTGGACTACCAGCCTGCACTGTGCAGCACAGCACAGCCCTGCTTCAAGAAGCCAACGAATGAGTGAACAAACACTGATAACATTAACTGGTGCACTCGAAATTATTTCTAAAACTGTTTTTTTGTTTGTTTGATCCCATTTATAGTCAGAATATATCATTTGGGTTTTTTTAAACCCACATGTGGCAGCACACAAAAATCACTAACCTGGCTTTGGAGGCAGTACTGGAATTCTTCTGTTGGTATGAGTGAAGGGACAGTCTGGTTTAGTGCACTTCACATCATATTTACAATTTGGATGAACAAACAAACATTTTTCAGCAAACTTACAATTGGGGAAGGCTCTACAAAACAAAAGCATATTCATAGTATTTTCAATGCAATATTAGTTTTCGTAGATGATCTTTTTTAAACTGTTACTATTTGTTTTGAAAAAATGTGGAATACAAAAACATACTCATTTTCAAATGAGGCCAGACAGTAAGTGGATGGAACTGTTTGTATCAAAACCTGAAGTTATAAAAAGAGGCCTCCAATTCAAGCCAAACCATCAGGAGACAGCAGGGGCGTTGGTGGGGGCGCACTGTGCTGCTGCACGCCAGGGTCCATGTTCTGTGACGCACACTCAGCGCAGCATGCACAGCCTACATGGGAAGCCCTGCGCTCAGACTCATCCCACGGCCTCGTCATGGGCACAGCTGTATCGCTCCAACGGAATCGCTCCAACGTCAACACGCCTTCCTTCCTGGTGGTAAAGCTCAGCTAGCCAGGTGTAAGCAATTTTTTTTTTTTTTTGGTACAGGGTCTCACTATGCAGCTTGGACTCGTAGTGATCCTCCTGTCTCAGCCTCCCCAGCTCTAAGATTATAGGCATATGTCACCACGCCCAGTTTTAGTGGCTGGCTTGACTCGGGGCCAGGTTGGCATGCAGTACTGGGGATCAAATCTGGGTCCTTGCACTTGCCAAGCAGGCTCTCAGACCACCGAGCTATCTCCTCGACTGTATTTTTTATACCCCATTACTTTCCTCCCAATCCTTCAACATCATGACGTCTGTAAGCAAAATGCACACTAACTGGGGGAATTACCAAATACTGTACCCATCTCCTTAAATGTAGAGAATCCTCAAAGAGGCCCAACATTCCAGTACCTCACAGGTCTAAGGCACCAAGAAGCCCCCTCCGAACACATATGAGGCTGCTCTGGGGAGAGCCAGAAGAAGAGTTACTGCATTTAGTTATGAAACTCAACCATAATAAAGAAATAATGAACCTGGAGGATACAGAAATTAAACTGAAAACCAGCATCAGTTTGAAGTTACTCACTTGCAAGGGGAAATGGGATGGTGGTACGCACACTCATCTCCATTTTTACAAGCAGGCCAGTACTTGCAGCGCTCCAAAAGCTTTTCTGGTTTCTGTGCCACATTCAGCTCACTCATCTCCACTACAGAAGGAAAGGATTAAAAGTATTTCATTCAATGTCATCAATTTGATACATAGCCCCTTGAATAAATCTCCCTTGACTTCCAGTCTTAAAATTAACATTTCTTTTAAATTCAGAGTTGTGTCCCCCCCCCCCCCCCAAAAAAAAAACAAGCCCATGTAACCTATGAACTGTGGTGAGTGAACCTACAGAAGATTACCAGGAAGAAGACCACAGTTTTCATTTTGAAAAGGAAAGTGAGTGCACCAAGGGTGTCTTTCACCAGACTCTAATTCTTCAATATCATTTCAGCACTGAATAAATATACAAATAAAGAGGGAAGGATGTCAGGTAGGGAGCATACAAAATTGCACGCAAGGTGAAAAAACAAGGGGCTAAGAAATAAGAACTATCTTTCATTGCAGCAAGATACAAAGTGCACAAATACAAAGGTTTCCCTGATTTCTGAGGTAAACTCAGTCTAGATGCTAACCTCACAGAAATGTCCACAAAGAAAGAAAAGCACTTTGCCTAAATTGGGCAACAAACCCCACTGGCTCCAGGGAGTGGAAGCCCACCCATGCGCAGAGCTCCGCGCCCCTTCACTCAGTCCGAGCCAGGACAGGCTCCTCTTGTAGCAGTCCGGGGAGTAGGGCCTGAGATCTGCCATTTCAGGAAACCAAAAACTACCTTTTTGTGACACTGCAATTTTAGAGGCTGATAGCTCTAAATTAGGAACACTAAATAGAGGAAGTAAAAACCCAGCTGCAGGTCTTGACCAGCTGCTCAAGGCACTCTTCTCAGAAAGGAGTAGCTGGCACTGTACACCGTACTACAGGGCTGCGTTTAGGAAAGCAGGCCTTTGCAGCTGCCGGAGATGGCACACAACCCCAGCCTGCCTCCGCACAGTAGTAAGCTCAGCTCTGGGCACGATGGGCCATGCTGTCCAGCATCACTACGCTTCAGTTTCCTCATTTACGCAGAGGGAGCATAATAATGCGTTCTTCAGATGCTAGACCTGAGCTAGATCCCTAAGACCATTTAAAGTCAGTAAGTTGCTTATATTCTGATATAAAAGAAGTCTAAGTTCTATAAACAAATATATTAGTTTTTCATTGATTTTTTGTTATTCCTGCAGAGAAAAGTGTCTTGCCTTCCTCCTAAACAACATGTTAGACTATGGCGTACATTCAAGGACACAAGAAAATGCAAGATGGAAACACGAAAGAGTAGCCTAGCTGGAAAATGACTGAAGCAGCTAACCACTTAACAACAATACTGAAATACTTCACGAAGAAACTTTGTCTCTCGGTGGAAAGATGTCAAGTCTCTAGCCTTTCTCAACTGACATTCACTCCACAAGCGATTCAGATCTCTTCTATTTCAGTTTTAAGAGGCAAATTCACTTTTAATTCAAAACTGTAAAAGCTGTGCTGCTATACGCTGGTGGCCAGTGGCAGAGGCTTAACAGAGACACCACTGTTGGCCACATCCTGAGTCACTGCACAAGCCACCAGCCTGGAAGCAAAGCTCTCTGCATAGCGCAGAAGAGACAGAGGCTGCCTGCCACTCTTCGGCACTTCCTGCTCCTTTCCAGTCTGTCCTTCTGTCAATTTCCAGCTCTCTCCACAGAACATCACACTATGTCACAGGTTCTCAGCAAGGCAGGTAGTCAAAGATAATAGTTTCTCTCACTCAAAATCTCCCCCAAAAAATCTATTATTTTTTAGTGACTGAACAAAGTATTCAAAATATTTCATATCTCTGCCAAGATTTGTTGGGAAAAATTTCAAAATCAATTATTGTATTTTTCTTTGAATCTATTCATTTTTAAGATTTAGTGATTGCTGGCTATGGTGGAATACACCTGTAACCCCCAGTACTAGAGAGGCACAGGCAAAAAAGATCACAAGTTCATGCCTGGTCAATTTAGCAAGACCAAGTCTCTAACTAAAAAAAAAAAAATAATAATCTATGCATGGTGGAGTACACCTGTAATCCAGCACTCAGGATGGCTGTGTCAGAAGGATTCAAAATTCAAATCTTACCTGGGCAACTAGTGACTTCGCAAGACCCTATTTTGAAATTTACCAAAAGGAAAAAGAAAGGCTGAGATGAGATGTAGTTTGCCAAGAAGGCCCTAGGTTCAAAATTCCTAGCACCAAAAATTAACTAATTTTTTTTTTAAAGCCTGGAGACCCAAGTCTGTGGAAGAGCACTTGCCTGGCCACTGGGTTCAGACCTTAATGCTGCCAAAAAATCCCACCTTTAAGAGGCACTTCTACAAATCATCACAAATGAAAAGGCTTAGCAGTGCTGCAGCTGGCACTGGTGTCCCTGGGACAAGAGGTGGAGACGGACACACATCTGACTGAAAGCACAGGGCTGTCTCGGCTGCGCTGTGCTAAGTGTCTCTCTTCAACATGAGGTCTTTTCTACACTTCCAAGAAGTATCCTGGCAGATCAGATGAGAAATTCTTTCAGACAAATTTTACTGAGGTAGAAAGAGCATAAAAATTCACATTTATTTTTCTCTAAAGTTAATTATCAGATTATTGCTGATACAAAGGGAGAATGACGGGGGGTGGGCAGAAGTAACCAAGATATCAAGAATGATGGTTCATTTCTCAAAGAGCATAATTAAGAGTCTTTCTGAGGCCATGGCTGAACTCCAGAATTTTAGCTCTGGAGTAACAGCCTACCTATGAAACACGCATGTGGAGAAATAGTCTGAAATTTGGTGGGTTTGATTCAAAGAACAAAAAGGGCCACTACTGAATACAAATATATGCAAGACCACCAATCAATACTCGTTCAAGACAGAGAAGTCAAAGATTCCCTTCACACAGTCTGAGCTCTCAACACACCGTAGGAAAAGCTACCATCTGGGTCACCAAGCTGCCTGTTCACCAACTGCAGCTGCTGTGGGTGGAGGAGACCTTTGAGTCCCTTGTTTGAGGCTGCAGTTTGGTTTACGGGTTTCACTCCTTCAAAGCACATGTCCTCCTCTTGATCTGACATGTATCCTGGGGGGCTGGGGACACCGTCCAGCGTCACTATAAACTTGGGACTTGCAGGTTTATCTGGTTGTACAAGATCTCTGCCAGACAGATAAAAAATACCATAGAATTAGGGAAGCACACACGAACGCCAGACCCCTACAGCGCGCTCAAGCAGAACTGGCACTCCTCACTTGCGTTTGGTTCAGTCAGACAAAAAAACAAAAGCAAAAACAGAACAGAAAGATTGGGAAGGGCTTCCAGGTCCAGCGCTGTGGGTTCAGCCCCCATGGCGTCAGCACCAGTGACCCTCCAGCCTGTACTAGGGACAATCTGCCCTCATCCCTGACTCCACCACTCATGTGACCCTCGTGGGGCCAACATGGAAGCCTCGTGGGGCTAACCCTAGCACAGATGCTCAGAACACAATGGATAGAAGTTTTACGTTCACACTGATTTTCTTATCTTAATGTGTGTTCCTTTAAGGAACACAAAGTTCATTAAGGAAAAATGACCCAAACCCAATCTAGTTTTCAATGGAAGACTGATGTGGCCACCTGGCTTTTAAAATTCTATTCTATAAGGCCAAGGCAGGAGAATTCCTATGAATTCAAGGCCAGCCTGGGCTACAAAATGAGCTCAAAGCCAGCCTAAACTTCATAGTGAAACCCTGTTCCAAAAAAAACAAAAATTCATTTATGGAAATGCATTTAAAAAACAATCTTAGGGCCAGCAAGATAGCTCAGGGGGCTAAGTGCCTGCTTAGGTAAGAGCAGGGACTGGGTTCCATCCCCAGCACCACGTGCCATGCTGGCCCTGCCCCCAGGGTGTGCTGTGCCAGCAACGGAGTCCGGGTATGGCGGCGCACACCTGTAATCCCAGCTGCTGGGGAGGCTGAAAGCAGGAAGATCACTACGAGTCCAAACTGCGTAGTGAGACTCTGTACAAAAAATAAAATAAAATCTTATTAATGGAGCTAAATTATATACTCAGTTTTTATTTGTAGATTAATATATTTCTGAACAAGCAGAATAAACTAGAATTTTTGAGAACAATTTCACCAGCTATTCACGCCTAGCTACTCAATGAAAATACTTCTACTGGGTGATGAGGCAAGGAAGAGGGAAGCTGAGAGCTAAGAGCCAGCCTGCACTATCTAAGCACACAAATTAGCTACACAAGAAAAAGAAACCATCTACCGTGTCTGCATAAGGTGTCCTGAAAGTACCCGCAGGGTATCTGCAGTCTTCATCCCCGACTCTTGGTTTGGTGCCACTACTACTTCCTCAGACAGCTTTGGCTTCTTCAGAATAAATGATCTTGTGTCTGCATGGACCATGGATTCCATGTCATAGTAATCTGAGCCAAAAAGATTGGCCATAAATGTTTGCTTTTGAATAAATCTTTTATTCCCAACATCACACATGTGACACAAATGTCAGTCTTTTATATACTCATAATTATTTTTTAAAAATCATAACTGATTCCATTTGGGAATAGGGCTGTGATGCTATCCCCAACATCTCTGGAAAGAAGTCAGGTGATCCTTTCCTTATAGGGTGCATTGCAAGTGACTCAAATGAACACGCCCTGCCTGAGGGAGGGAAAGGGTCTCCTGGGAGGCTGCAGGGGGGACATTAAGATACACACAAAAGAGAATTTGAGCAGCTTGTTGTTTTCTACAATCCCAATCCACAGATTATTGAACTATTTTTCTAAAACTTATTGTTCAGTTTTCACAGTATCATGTATAGGAGAGAACATATATTGAAAGGAAGAACTCATATGAAACAATTTCTGTTTGGCTGTAGAGAAAGGACTACTTTGAAAGAGCATTTCTAGATGAGTGGGCCTGACCCCACCAGCTCACACAGTCTACGCGTGGCCAGCCTGTCAGCACGCCACCAACTGACTAGAGCCAAGGTACTTGTTTCAAAGGTGAGAGGTAATTAAGACAAAACTTGCAGGCCATTCGCTCTGGGAACTAACACTGACTGAAAAACTAAAAGTAATAGTATGACTAGTTACACAAGAAAAAGCAGCTAAATAGCTGCAGAACAGCATGACCCATAGGAGCAAACGCTGGGAGACAACACAGACGCGGCTGCTTCAGCTGGGGGCTGTGCGCCCAGGTGCAGCAGGGATCAAAGAGGGAGCAGGGGTGAACCAGGAGCGGGGAGCGGAAGGCAAGCGGAGCACCTCAGGCAGAGAAAGACACCAGTAGGGAGCAAAGCCCGCAAGAAGTGCAGTATGGCAAGCTGAGAGCGAGTGGCCAGGAGGGCTGAGAGCACTATGGAAGATCTCATCTCAGCACTCTCCATTCTGGTCTGTAAGGAAGAAATCAAAAGGTTCCTAAGCAGGGAAGTGATACAATCAAATTGGTTTTCAGGAAATGATGCTAAGGACTTGTGGCACGCGCCTGTCACTCCAGCACTCTGCAAAGCTGAAGCTGAAGGATCACAAGTCTGAGGCCAGCCTGGGCAACTGAGCAAGACCCTGCCTCTAAATGGCAACTACAAAAAGTGAAACAGAAATGGCTGGGGATGTAGCTTGGCACACCCAGGGGATCCATCTGCATATCAAAGGAGGAAAACAGGTCCACATCAAGAGGGGCAGGACAGGTGGTTAAGACAGACAGACATTGGGAGGGACATACCGACAGGAGGAGAAATTGAGACGGCACAAGAAAGGAAGAGCAGATTTTAAAGGTGGCAAAGATAAATTTCAATGTTTAGATTTTATTTAGTTTGAAGTCTTTTTGTGGATTTTACATGTTATGAGGAACTGACAACTCCGATCTGACTCTCAACAGGGGAAAGACTGACCGCGGCAGAGGTGAGGTGAGTACTTCACTTTGCAGATGTCGCTGCCCCTCACTGCCTGCCCAGGAAGCCTAAAGGAGGCATCTTCCTCCCAATCACTAATGACCAACTTACACTTCAAGCTTCTCAGCAGCTCACTGGGTCTCCATCAGCAACTGCAGAACTAGGGCAGGTCCGGTAGCCACTACCTGCTTCTGAGCTACAGCAGTTTCACTAGCCCACACCCTGGGAGAATACAGGAGAGCAGAACTAACGCTGGGGACAGGAGCCGGGGCAAAGCTAACTTTTTCAGGGGCAGAGGAGATGACAAAAAAGAATGAAAATGAACAAGAAGAGCTATTGTGCTGATACAAATCTGTAATTCCAGCTACTGAGAAGGCTGAGGCAGGAGGATCACCTCAAGCTCAGCGTGAGGGTAGGCAGCTTAGCCAAGATCCTGTTTCAAAATAAAATTTTAAAAAGAGCTAGGTATAGCTCAGTGCTCCCTGGGTTCACTCCCCATTATTGTAAAATAAAAAAAAACTGTGAAATCCTGAAACTCAAACTATCGAAGACTGAAGAAAACCTGGGAACACGTGTCACATGCACCTTAGGCAAGAGTGCACTGAAGCCAGGCGGGGGGGCAGGCAGGTTATCTGCCTATAACCTGGAAGCACTTGGGAGACTCAGGCAGGAGGCCTGCTTTGAGTTCTGGGCCAGCCGGAACTACATACAATGACCGTGTCTCAACAAAAAAGCTGTAAAAGAAAGGAACCACAATTTCAAAATAAAAAACAGATCAATAGGAATTCAGATCAGCAAAAACTGAATTCTAAGTCAATAATGAAGCAATCCACTTTAGGCCACAAAAGCCCCAAAGGCTTGAAAGCTGGCAGCACAGGGTCCTTGGCAACGGCGGGCAGGCGAGCGAGTGAGCAAGCTAGCAAGGCAGCAGGCGCAGTTCTCCTGGATTCCTCTGCGCGCTGTCCCCAGCCTCTGCCTGTGAGACGGCGGCTCCAGATAACCTTTCACACATATTACAGCTCCTCCCTCGGGCTCAGGACAAGGTCAACACTGCGGGTCTGTGCACCAGGGACACTGGCCATGCTGTAAGAAGCCAGCATGGAAATGGGGAGGATGGCAGTCAGCACCATGGTGGCTTCCCCTGTCAGTTCTCTAGAGGCCAGTACCCAGGCTTCCACTCCAAAGACTTGGGAGACGTGGACTGGCCTGAAAGGCCTACAGGCACCAACAGCAGTGTGCCCCGAACTAACCCAGCAGATCACTCCACGATACCCACGTTCCCACATGAGGACTAAAGGTCCCGAGCCCAACTCATGAACCCAGAACACCTGTCCACTCTCACATCCCAGACCACCAAGAACCCAACATGCACAGCCTTCATCTTGAAACAAGACCAGGAGAAGGGACAGAATGTCAGAACAAGAAAAAACACATACATAGGAAACAAAATCAGTCTGTTTAAAGCTGAAAGGAAAAAGGAGTGTAGCTGTGTGCAGTGAAACAGGCCTGCACCCCCAGCCCTCTGGAAGGCCAGGCAGGAGAACCACTAGGGGAGACCCCCAAGGCAGAGGGAGTCCAGCCTGGGCAGCTCAGCTGCATGGCAGGACCATGTCTCAAAACAAGAAATTCAGTGAGGGCTGGCAGCACTCACCCATAACCCAGCACTCTGGAAGCCTGAGAGAGAATTTGACAGTCAACCTAGTAATTTGGCAACTCTAGGAGACTCTGCTGTAAAATAAAAAGACTTTTAAAAAGGGCTGCAGATGTAGCTGTGTGAAAGTTCCTGGGTTCAATGCCCAATGCTGGGGTGGGGGGAGAAAAGTAAAACAACAAATTATTTTTAGAGATAATTAAATATTTATGAATATACCATTAAGGTGACATCAGGTTGGGCTTTGTGGACGTTTCATTAAACACTTAAAAATGTCTGATTTTGCAGCTGACTGCAGTGCAGGCTAGGATCCCAGCACTGTGGGAATCTGAGGGCAAGGGATCTGAAGCTCCACCCCATGTGGGCAATTCATTGACCTGACAAGATCAGGTCTCCAAATAAAGGCTGCCACTAAGGGGGCACAGTGAGGGTGGGACAGTGTGATGCCCTGCAGGAGTCGCAAAAGCAGAAGGGCTCGCGCAAACAAAGCACACGATGGAGGGAGGGGCAGCACTGATGTCACACATAAGCCTCCCGGAGCTCGTGATGCCTCCAACTGTATGTGCACCAAGTGCAAAAAGAAAACTAAAGAGAAAGGTTAGGGACGAATGCACAGAACTGACGAAGTGAGCACGACACACATGCCTGGGAACCTCTTTGGAAGATACTCACTGAAAATAGGATGGAAGGTTGGAAGATGAGAGCGCAAAATCAAGGATAAAAATTAAACACTCTATAGGTGGAAGAAAGACGCCAGGGGCAAGCAGACCAGCAATGTGACCACGTTCATCAGATGGGCAGGACCTGGCATCTGGGGGGTTAACGCTGAAGAAAGCTTCACACCTGCCTCAGGCAGCAAGCCTGGATGGGTCAGAGGATAAGGTCTCTTACTGGAGTCCTGGCAGAGAGAAAGTTCAGGAAGGGCTAACCGAGGCAGCCATCACAGGAACAGAGATTCCAGCAAAGGGCAAACTTGGGGGACACAGAAGAAAAAAGAGAGGAAGCTTTTTATTAGGCAGCGAGGCAGGGCCTGTGCACTAAGGAAAGCAGACACTTGCCCCAGTCCTGAAGCAGTCTGTGATGGGGGGGGGGGGGGGGCACAGGGGCATGACAGTGGCTCCAGGCAGGGTGGCCTAAGACTACAGAGGTAAAGTAAAAGCAAAGATGAAGATGAATAGGGGAAGCAGAAGATACAAAAGCAGCTCAAGACAATGGCAAAGGCGGGGGGGGGGGGTCAAGTCAGGTGAGGGACTCAGGTGGTCCATGACAGCAAGAATGGGCAGCCAGCAGTCCAAGAGGGATGGCACTAAAAAGCAAAGTTTCTGAATATGCAAAAAATAAAAACACCATACACTATGAAGAACATGCAGTTTCTCTCTTGGCCCTAAAATATTTTCACAGATCTGTACAGGGCATCTTAAGCAGGAGCTAAATGACAAAAAATGCACTGAACAAGGTGTAAGCAATGACAATGGCAACAGAACTGCTAGTTTATAATGAAAATTCAAGTGTCACCAACCTTGACTCTGTAGTGTCTCTGCCATGACTGGGTCAATCTGCAGTCGGGATAACAACTGCCTCTGTTGAGTTCCTAGAATACAAATTTTAAAACCTCACTAAACTTAAAACACAAATACCAGCTTTTGTTACCCAGAAATTAATCTTGTTGGGTTAACAGAAAAATATTTAAAACTATAGCTTCAAAAATACAAACTGGCAGGGGCCAGGGAAATGGCTCAGTAGAATAAGCACTTGCCTAGCAAGCGCAGGGGTCTGAGTTCAAATCCCCAGTTCCGCAAAAAAAAAAAAAAAACCTGGCAAACCATAGGCACAGACAAAAAGCTGTCCTCAGGGTTAAACCAAAAAAGGCCATGAGGACACAGCCTTGGCTCCGCGTGGTGGGGGCCACATTTCTTGGACTAGAAGCACAGCCTACAAGAGAAGTAAAGGGAAGGATGGAGCAACAGGTCCTTGAGTACCAGCAGGCACTGCGACAGGCCACAGCCAGCTGCAAGACAAACACAAGCAGGGTCTCTCTCCGTCACCCAGGCTTCTTGCTGCAACTCCCTTCTCTATACCAACCCCATCTCTCACCAAAGCAAAACAAAACCCTCAAGAGTTACATCATTATGAAATTTCCAAAGATATCAATGAGCTCAGAAGGGGGCAAAAACAAGAATAACAAGTGTAACACTTGAATATGGCACTCAAAGCTTCACAACTCAAGACCCTACATCAACAAACCAGGAAAAGTTCCTGTGCTGTGTAGTGATGGAAGGGCTGGCCTGTACCAGGACCCTGGTCACCCCATCTTATCACCTGGTGAGGCTGCAGCTATCTTTGTTTGTGAAGGCACATTCTGTATCTGCACTGATGAAATGGCCTAAAACACGTTTCTTGGACCATCCCCATTGTTAAGTGATACATGAGGGTAATCACTTGCATCTGCTGTAAGAAAAAAAGTGCTCAGAAACTGCACGTGGTAGTGCATTCCTATAATCCTAACACTCACAGAGGCTGAGGCAGGAGAATCACAAGTTCAAGCCCAAAATGGGCAGTTTAGCAACTTACCAAGATCCTGTCTCAAAATAATCACATAAAGGGTGGAGGATGTACCTCAGTGTGAAAACCCAGGGCTTAATCTCCACTAGAGCCACACACAAAGGCAAACTAGAGCACTTATCATTTCCTTGTAAAGCTGACAGACTCAGTTCTCAAAAGGTCCATGATGTTAACTCTCAATAACCAAACTGCATGCAACAGTAACAAACCATCTTTGCTCGCTGCTTGAAGAACAGGAACCACCTCACACTTCTCTGTACCCCACGGCACCCAGCAGGTGTCAGGCACCGCCTGCTAATGTACAAGACAAGCATTATAGTATGGTGTAAAAAAGGGACAGAAATGATAAGGTTTCAAGCACTTCAATCCTAGAAAGATGCTCACATGCTGATTTTTAGTGTGCATCTGTTATGTGCAGCTTCACAAAGGCAGGATTTACTCATCCACAAACATGTAAGTGGGTGATCTCACCAAGTACCTTTCATTGCAAGGTATTTTTAAACTGTAAAATTGTATTAGTTTGACATTTTATTATTTTCTACTAAAGCATACATTAAATATTACACTGTGGTAGTGTGTCCAAAAAAGGGTAAATTTCTTCCAAAATTACCATGACAAGAACACACTTCTGAGGGACAAACCTAAATTCCAAGTGTCATTTGGTCATGCTCTATTCTTTGGGACAGCCTGAAAAACCGACATGTTACAGAGTATGGAAAGAACGCTTAAATGCAAGTACCTGTTTCAAATACTGCAACAGGTCTCTTTAACATATTTAAAGAAAAAAGCACACACTTTACAATAACTTCACACAGATATTTAAAAGACTGTTAGGTCACACTTCAAGGGTTTCACCTTCACGTTCATCGATCATCTCAAAACATCACTTTAGAGATGGAATTCTGAAAATTCTAGGCCTTTAATTTGAATAACACACATTCTAAATCCTCGAAAATTTCACTTCTCTCTGCCTTGCTGCCTCTGTATCAGAGCTACAGTTAAGGCACACGGAACAAAACAGATCAAAGGATGAGTATCTAGAAAACATCAAAAAGGGTTTACCTTTCTCAGTATTTCTAAGGAAGTCGATTATTTTTACATCTGTACCTTTTGACTGTGATTCAAAATCTATTTCAGCTTGAAAATCTTCCAACTGCTTGTTGCATTCAAATGTGGATGCTGAATATTCATTCATTTTAACCTCCAAAGAGGAAATTTTTGCTTCATTTTGCGACACTCTAACGTTTAGGTCAAAAAGATTTGCTTCGACTGTCAAAATTGCAGCTTTCATTCCTTTAATTTCATTGACGTCAGTTGATATTTTTCTCAAAAGGTGGGAAATATTATCTAGCTCATTTAGTGAACAAGAGGAATTTGTAACAGAACCTACACCAATTGGTTCCGGTGAGACAAAAACTGGTAGAGATGGTGACTGAAATCTTGAAGACATTTTCATAAAATCTGTTCTTAGTATCTGGGAATTTTTCCTTCACAGCCCATTAAATTGTCTCATCAAAAGTAAAAACAGTGATCACTGCTGTTACCTTAAGAAGTATTAAGAGTGACTAACATTTTAAAACCTGTAACTGGAAAAATAAGGTTGTACATTCTAGAATCAGAAAGTCTGAAAATGCTAAACACAGCAGATCAATTTTTCTTTTTGCTACAAGTGAGAAGTCCTATTATGTAGCCACTGTACCTTCTAGGTCCTACTTATAGCTCCTCACCTAGTAACCTCATTATTACATACAAAACAATTCTTGCCTCTGATTGGCTGGAAAGAAACATGTGACACCCAAAGAATTCTTATATTATTTACCTCACATGATGGCAAGAATACTAAAGAGATATACCACAAACTATGCAATATACTGTTAAGCACTTTATGTGCTTCTTCTTTTGCTCATTAAATTGTAACTTTCAAGCTTCAGAATATTTTTGTTTTACAGTTATCTTAAATTTCATTTACCCTTAAACAGCACAGTGATACCTCAGTTGTCAAACTCAATTCATTCCAAATTCATGTGTGTGCACTAGAAAGAAAACTGAACTTATTTTTCCCATAAGAAATAACGGAGGGGCCAGGGAGATAGCTCAGTAGAATAAGCCCTTCCCTGGCAAGCGCAAGGGCCTGAGTTCAATCCCCAGTTCTGAAAAAAAAAAAAAAGAAAGAAAGAAAAAAAGAAAGAAAGGAAAACTGAATCACTAGTTCTGAGGCCCCAGAATTACACTTTTTCCAGGACTATGACAAATTTCACAATGATTTGGTTCTTCATCATATTTTCCTCTTAGCTTTACTACCAGTAGCACTTTCTTTGAAGCCATGATTATATTTTACACCAGTAACCACCCCCAAAAAGCACAATGACAAATGTTTTTTTTTTGTTTTATTTTGTTTTTTGTTTTTTGGGGTTTTTTTTGCAGAACCGGGGATTGAACTCAGGCTCTTGTGTTTGTCAGAGAAGCGCTTATTCCACTGAGCCATCTCCCCAGCCCCAGTGACAAATGTTTTGATGCACTAATACAAGTCCTCTGTGTTGGCTGACCAACAGCAACACTTAGACTGAAGTGTCACCCTTCTGGGTCCACAGTGAGATGGGACACCTGACTCATTCTTGAGCCATACAGGTTTTTTCATGTCAGATTTTCAGTCTGACTACTGAGCAAAGTTACAAGTACTAGGTGCATTTTTTTTTTTTTCAAACTTCACTGTGTAGAGCAGTGGAAAATTTGAGCTCAGAGTATCTGACAACTGAGGACTCACTGTACATACCTACTGCATTAGCTTTACAGGGGCAGGGATGACTGACCCCATGATCACAAACTAATTGCTTCAAAGACCATATGTAGTAATAATAGAAATATACCATGCTAATATGAATCTAAGTGTGGGAAAATAAGAACTCTGCCTTGTTTTGGCATTACACTATTGCTAGACATGAGTTTTACTTTTTCCCATTCTGTGGGCTCTTTCCATTTCTGGTAGTATTTTTTGAAACACAAATTTTAAGTTTTGTTGAAATCTAATTTATCTACTTTTTCTATCAACTACCTGTGCCTTTGGTGTCATAGCTAAGGAACTGAATCCAATTTATGCTGTTTGGGTTTTTTTTTTTTTTTTTTTCTCTCTCTCAAACATTCCTTATCCTAACATTCTCAGCAACAGAAATAATTATATTCTACATCTTATTCGAAACAACCTTAATTCCTACATTAATTATCATTACACGCTGAGGAAATCAAACAGAACGAATAAACGCTGGCCTATACTTTCTATTTTATACCTTAATCGGATCTCTCCCTTTACTAGTCACATTAATCTATATTCAGAACCAAATAGGGACCTTAAACTTCCTATTATTTAATTACTATAAGCCAATGCTTGACTCCACATGATCCAACAACCTCATATGACCAACATGCACTGTAGCATTCATAATTAAACTACCCTTATATAGTTTCATGGTTAACCATTCGTTTCATGGTTTTTGGTTTTTTGTTGTTTTTGTTTTGTTTTACTTTCACCTCCTTTTTTTTTTTTTTTTTTTTTTTTTTTTTTTTTTTGTGTGTGTGTGTGTGTGTGTGTGTGTGTGTGTGTGTGGCCAGCTCAGCCCACCAGGGGGCAGGGCTGGCTGGCATGTGGTGCTGGGGGATTGAACCGCGGTCCGGTCCCTGTGCTTTGCTAAGCTTGCTCTAAGTAGGTGCTTTAGATCACTGAGCCATCTCACCAGCCCCATATTTTCACCTCTTAAATGCAAGTGTTTGATCAATAGAGTTAATTTCTGTATAACTGGTAAAGGACCAAATTTCATTCTTTTGTGTGGATATCCAGCAGTCTCAACACTGATAAAAACTGTTCTCTCTCCATTAAATTGTCTCAGCACACTTACAACAGCATTGAGGTGACTATTAACAGTTACCTCAAATCACAGGTTAAGAAGCTGGGCACAAAGGGGTTGAAATCAGCCAGTAAATGGAAGATGTATTAAAACTTCATCACTAATTCCACCATTACACTGCTGGATCTCT